CATGTGTGAGTGTGGTAGGTCTGGTGTGTGTGTGTGTGTGTGTGTGTGTGTGTGTGTGTGTGTGTTTACAGCCTTCTCTGCAACGCAGTTGGGAGCTGGCTCTGTTGATGTTTAATTGTGCCCTGAGCTCTAACGAGGATGTTCAACGTGCCAACCAGGGCTCGGGAGGCCATTGTTTCTGCTGCCTCTGCCCCACGGGCTGCTCCCGCTGTGTCGGGGGCCCGCGGGTGGCAGGCCCGCACTCGGCTGGGACCTCAGCTGCAGGGCATGTTTCCCTCCCTCTTTTTGTACTGGTGGGTTCTGAGGCCGGGAGAGCAGATTTCCTGCTCCACTAATTACCAGGGCCGTGCCGAGGGCGGCCGATGGCAGCTCGCCCACACTGCAGCCCTGACGGCATCTTCCTGGGCCGGTCTCCCCGGGATGACAAGGTTCCTTGCATGAGAAAACAGCATTCGTTCTCTTATTGCTCATATGTCCACTTAGGGGCTAGAAGACTGGGTAGGTGGAAGAGCTTTGCCTTTCTCCCTTTTCTTCTGTCCGCCCGACAGGAGAGAGGGGAGGCAGCTCTGTGTGGTGGACAAGCATGAGACACGGAGCCCCAAGGTCCGGTTTGAACTCTGGCCCCTGGCGGTTTCTGTCTGCGCAGCTACAGATCCATTGCTTACCCTCTTTGGTCTCAGTTTACTATCTGTAAAATAGGGATGATGGTGATAATATCGAGGGTTTACACTCCTCGTAAGGTTATTTGGGGATGGGAAAAGGCACGTGGAGACCTGTTGTAAAACACTATACATCATAGTTCTTTTTTTTTTCATTTATTTATTTAGATTTTTGCCATAGCATGCATGCACTTGCCAGAGAGAAACAGAGAGAGGGAAAGTGAGAAATCACCCACCAGGGGGCATGGCCATGTCACAGTCCCTCCTCCTCCATTCTCCTCTTAGGATTTTGGGCATGCATGGCTGGCATGATTTTTAAGCCTAGTCTGGGGTTTGAACTGAGGTTAGACCTGTGGGAGTCTGGCACCTTAACCACCATGCCACCTGCTGGCCAGCATGGTTCTTTTATTTTACTGCTCATAACTGCTGCTTAGAACATGACATTGACCTATGAAACATCACTCCGACCACCAGAAGAGGAGGTTGTAACAAGAGTCTTGGCATGGAAGGTGGAGAGAGGACTGACCCCAGGGCTGTGGGCCAGCAAGGGCCCAGGCATGTAATAGGCCCGCAGCGAAGATTAAGAGTTCAACACCCCAACAGCTATCACAGATAAAGGGAGCCTGGAACATTCGCCTTCCAACATAACAGTGACAAGAGTTCTCTGGTCCTTAAGGGGTGGCTCCAAGCATCTCTAATTTTTAGACTAATTGGTTTGTGAACGAACAATTCAAGGATGATGACGAATGTCTTGGCTGGAGACAAGGAGAGGACGTGGGTCCCAGGTAGTGTGACCAGGCTGCGTGATGAGATTCTGGGAGACCTAGGGCCGCCTCTGGCTCTTCCAATGATTAGGCATGAGATCCTAAATGGATGATTTAATTTAACCAGGCTTTCATCTCCTTTGAGATCATGAACTAAAAGACCTCAAAGATGACTTAAGAATCTAAGACTTAGGCCAGAAAGTGGCATGGTGGTTAAGGCACTGGATTCCAACATGGCTGTCCACAGTTTGAGTCCCAGACCCAGTGGCTTGAAAATCATACTGGGTGTGTGTGCCCAGAATCCTGAGAGGAAAATGGAGGAGAAGGGATTATGGCACGGCCATCCTCCCTGGTGGTGGTGGTGGTGGGGTTTGACCTCTTACTTCCCTCTCTGTCTCTCTCTGGTCAGCATACATGCCCTATGGCAAAAGTCTAAAAAACAAATAAAAAAGATTGACTTGGGCCTGTAGGTGGCATGATGGTTAAGGCACTGAATTCCAATGTGGCTGATGGGGTTGGAGTCCAGGACACTGTGGCTTGAGAATCATGCTGGGCACGTGTGTGTGTGTGCCCCAAATCCTGAGAATAGAATAGAGGAGAATAGATTGTGGTGTTACCATCCCCTGGGGGGTGACGTCTCACTTCTCTCTCTGTGATGAACACCTGAGCCTTGTGGCAAAAAACTAAAAAATAAGAATCTAAGACTTGATAAAGTGCTCTCTCCTTCACAGGAATTCCAAACTTTCATGCCACCAGGAAACCATGCCAGTGTGTGTGTGTGTGTGTGTGTGTGCGCGCGCGCGCGCGTGCGTGTGATCCAAACACAGTCCTGAGGCCACACAGCTAAACAAGGCACAGACGGCATCTGGCGTCAGACCCAGCCTTTTTGGAAGAGGAAGACTGGAGGGAGGGCGGAGGTGGCCTCATCAGAGATACCAAGGTGAACTCTCATTTTACAAGAGAGCCTCTCATGTGGCCATATTCTGACTAAGCTGAGAAGCAACGCTCCACAGATCGCAGGACGAGAAGGGGTCATTTCTCCGTAAAACAACGACAACTTCAGAATAATTGGCCTCGGTGCAATAGCGTTTTCTGCCGCTGACTTCAGAACAGAGACCCGAGTGTAGGTTTCCTAACAGCATAAATAACAATCGTCATCATGTGTATCTGTACAGTGCTTTGGAGTTTACAAGTACTTTCTCACCCATTTTTCTCATTGTGTCATTACATAATTTTCCAGAAAACTGCCTTAAGGTAACTTGTTTTTAAACTCTGAAATGTGTTCCCCCCCCCACCCCCAGGGGAAACAAGTCTACCTAAGTATGCTACCACCTTGCTTTAGAAATACTGATATGCCCTTGACAAAGTAGTGCTGCATGTATGCATAATTCTAGTGGGCTAGGGAAAATTCAGAACAGGAACAGTGTAAGATTGGGCAATGTAGATACTTTTCATTACTCTCTTTAAATGGACATCCTCTGTTACAATTTTGAGTTTCTATATATCATGTCTTCTTTTTAAAATCATTGAATTTTATTTATTATTATTATTTTTAAATTTCCTACAGGGCATGTGCACTCCCCAGAGAGACAGAGGGAAAGTGAGAAAATAAGCCACCAGGTGTGGGATTCGAACCACAGTTGGCTATATGGGAGTCCAGAGCCTTAACCACCATGCCAGCTGCTGGCCCCAGTATCAGGTTTTTTTTTTTTTTTGGGGGGGCTTTTTCTGTCTGGTGTGCGACAGAAAGCAGGAAATCACCCCCCAGGGGGGATGGCCACGCCTCAATCCCTTCTTCTCCACTCTCCTCTCAGGATCTTGAGCACGCACGCACATGTGTCCAGTGTGAGTTTAAGCCACCGGGTCTGGGACTTGAACCGTAGTCAGCTACATGGGAGTCCAGCAATGTAGCCATTACGCCAACTGCTGGTCCCCAATGTCAGTTTTTTTTTTTAAATAGGGCCACACATATTGGACTCCAGGATCAGTCTCCATTCCCTGGAATCTCATGAGGGTTGTATCTAACTCAGTCCAAGGGAGAGATGGCTGTTTATGATGTCAACATGGAAAGCAAGTAGATCCATACTCCATCCCATAAAAAAATAAGGAAGCAGGGGAAGAGACAGAGGAATGCAAATGTAACAGCTGAATTATTCCCAAGTCTTCTGTGAGTCACTGACGTGTCACAGTGCTGTTATAAATAACTTGCCATCAATAGCTAATCTATAAGATGTAGCTGAAGGCTAGGTGTGAGGTTAACACTACATAATTTGGAGTGGATCTGTTAGCACTTTCATGTAAACTGGTACCATACCCTGGGGCTAGAACCTAAAAGAAATGAGACAAAATTGCCTTTTAAATAAAGTCCTCCTGTTTTTCAGCTTTGGTCCCCAAACTCTCGTAGAAGACAGATCTTTGGAGCCAGCATGGAATTGTAATAATTGCCTTCAACCTCAACCCTCTCACCTCTGAAATTCGGCTGGCAGTGTCTTCTCGGTAAATCTACAATGACACGGTGAGAATTTTACAACTAGTTTGCATTTATAGGGTTTTGCAAGGAACCCAATAAACGTATATCACGATACAGGGAACACGGGGAAGAGCTCCTTTTAGCATTGGGGAAAAGCCAGGAAAATTCTCATTATGAAGACTGGAGACTCCTTAAAAAGTTTTATATTGCCCTTCTGAAAGGAGGCCTGGTTTCTCACTTTTATGGGTTGATATCAGCAATGCAGGTTTGCGTAATGTGAGCAGCTCAGATTTTCATTAAAGAGCTCCGGCATTAAGCCCTGTGAAGAACTTTCTCACAAATACTCAAGCAGTTAATGAGCCTCTGTGAAGGAAAGCTAGAATAAACATATATGCACATACCGTGGACGTGCTGTGTACATATGAAGGCTACGGGTACGTATGCAGGCATCACTGGCACACATGTTAATAATTACGCCATTTCCACCCACGCGTGTGTGTGCGCGTCCGTGTATGTATTCTATGTGTTAAAACCATTCAGATATATATTTTAAAAGAATAAAAAAAGGTAGTTCTTATTTGTTGAAATGTCCTTGAAACCCTACATAGATTCATGGCTTATAAATCTTTTCGTAAACTTAAGGCTGGTGATGGGAACAGAACAAGCAGTTGTAAACAAAAATCACAATTTGGGCTTCACTAAAAACAGGTGAGGGCCCTAGACATCACAGCTACTGCAGAATGCAGGAGCACGTATCCAAATACTGTAAGTAAAAGGAAGCTAAGTCATCCTTTTGGTAGGCGGTGGGTAAAGGGAACCAGCGAAGGCCTCCAGCGTTCAGTCGGCCTCAGCACCTCGGACAGCTCCGAGGGCGCGTCCCCACCCCCACTAGAATGCCGCCAACACCAACCTTTCTCCCGCTTTCTAAGCGCTTCTGTCATTCCAGGGAGTGTGCCGAGGAACCCGACGATCAATTAGGAGATGTGCAGGCATCAATCTGTCATAATAACTTACTCTTTCACCTCCCCATCACCCGACTTCTACTCCGCCCGTTTCCCCGCACCCTCCGCCCAGACAGCGAGGACTGCCAAGAGATCTTACAGACACCTGGGGTGGATGTTTTCACTTCCACTTCTAATTGGGAAGCAGCGTTTGCCACAGGCACCGTTTAATTTCGTTTCCATCCCCTGCATCTCACAGGAAAGAAATGGTCAATAGTTCAGATAAAAACATCCCCCTGGTCAGCTCCAAAGTATGGCTACTTGCACGGTAATCACAGCAAGTCTGTCGAACCAGAGATCTCTTTATTCCTAAAAGGAAGGGACTTTCCTAAGGGTGTGGTTCTACCACCCGAGGAGCAGCTGTCCTCTAGAAGTGGCCGCGAAGGCTGGCAAACCGCGAGGTCTGCTTTGGCTCAGAAACTCAGTTTGGCTCCTGCCACCCCTGACAACCTCACTGCGTGTCTTAGCGGCAGGTGCTCCCCACTGCGCAGTCAGGCTGGTCGGCTCCTACTTGGGCGGGATCACGACCAGGGGCGGCCCCCGCTTGGGCCTCCACATGAGGACTTGGGCATCGTTGGCGTTGGGCTTCACTAGTGCGTTGGGGGGGATGGGCTCCATCCGGCTCAGGATGCGGGGCTGGTCCTGCTGAGTCCTGCCCACCAGTCGGGCCCGCTGCCCGAGTAGCTGGAGAGGGTCCACCTCAATGTCCACCCTCATTCTCCACTTGATGGTCTGCAGAATGATCTTCTCCTTCGTGGTGGTGTTCATGGCCACCAGCCAGGTGGTGAAACTTTGGTCCCTCTTGATTCTCGTGAGCAGGGGCACGTTGCTGTCACTCACTGGCACCGCCCACGTCACACTGGGGTAGAAGTTGTCATTCATGCTGACGGAGAACCTGGAGATCTTGTTGGTGGGGCCGACCAGGGTCACCGTTTCGGTGGTGTTCCCGTACCAAGGGTAACTCACCCCGTCTGAGTCACTGATGGCTTTTACTCTCCCTTCCCTCAAATCAGGCAGCTCCCAGCTTGACCTGGCAAAGTAGAAGAGATGCACAAGAACAGAAGAGGCTGAATGAATTTTTCAAACGCTGGCAAGGTGCCCACCACTTACTAACATAGTCAACTTGGGCCAAGTGGGAAGTTCGGAGGGAAATTCAGGTCAAAAAGTTCTATACCGTGCTGTTTCACGATCAAACAAGAACAAGTCACAACAAAAAATAAAAAAGCAACGCCAAGACGAGTTAAATCAAACCCTCGCGGGCCCAGCTGAAGGCGGGGAACTCAAGGAGGCAGTGCGAGACCACAGAGAAGCATGAGTGGGGGGCAGGCAGCAGTCGGCAGTGTATACCCCTTCCACGGCAGGAACCGCTGTCTGGGGAAGTGTGAGTGTGTGCGAGAGCTGTCTGTCGGGAAGAGGTGACGGTGACATTGATGTGTGTGGAAGGAATGGAGGGCCGAAGGAGGCAAAGATACAGGTCACACATTTCTTAAGCAATTGCAGTGGTAGACTTTCTACTCAACAAAGCATTGCTTATACGCTGGCCATCGGTCAACCTAGCACTAAGAAAACACGGACGTAGAAGTTGGCAACACAAAGAGCTCATGCTGGCCCTGGAAGTCAGCTGGTAAATGTGGGAGTACGGGCTGGGCACACTGTCTCTGATAGGCCACTTCCCACTGACCTCAGGGCCAGCTGGATGCCTCAGTGCTTAGTTCTGGGCACCTGCTACTCCTCCTGGCTGCCTCCCACATCACACAGAAGGAGGGAGGAAGATCTGTGCCCTGCTCTCAGCCCATGCCCCTCCCCGCCGTGAACCCTTGCACATAACAGTAATAAGAGCTGACAGCCATTGAGCATAGGCTAACCGTATGCTAAACACTTCATGTTACTGCAGTTAATATTCAGAATAATCCGCAAGATAAATGAACTATCTTTTCCTTTTTGGTTAAGTTTTTGCTAAAGGGTGCAGGTGCTTGCTGGAGAGAGAAAGGAGAGAGGGAGAGGGAGAGGGAGAAGGAGAGGGAGAAGGAGAGGGAGGGAGAGAGGGAGAGAGAGAGGGAGAGAGAGAAATTACCACCTGGGAGGGATGGCCACACCACAATCCCTTCTCCTCCATTCTCTTCTAGGGATCTTGGACACGCACATACATGGGCCTGGTACGATTTTCAAGCCATGAAGTCAGCCATGTAGGATCCAGTTACCTAACCTCCACACCATATGCCGGCTGGATAAATGAACTTTTTTTCCCACTTGGTGCATAAGAGGTTAGAAGCCTAAAGACCCTCGGGTGCACGCCAAGGGCCCTTCAGAATGTGAAGTGGTACTGGGAGCATCTGACTCCGAGCCCACATGTCCGACCACTGTATCGTGCTGCTCCTGAGGTACCCTTGCATGATGCTGGAGGAAGCCAGAGTAGAGGGGACTCAGGCCCTCTAATGAGCTGGCCGCTCCCAGACTGGACCCTACCAGGGGCGGAGGTTTTGTTAGCAGAGACTGCTATGCATTCTCCATATTTCCAAGGCTGGGATCAGGAATGAGGCTCGGTCACAATACCTAAGAATTTAATAATTAGAGAAAGAAACAAGGGTGCTTCATTCATCAGCTCAGAGGTGGTGGCCTTGTTCAAGACAAACTTCTTCCCTGTACAAAGTGACAGAAGACCTGATCTTTATGCAAACCTTCTAAAAGGGAGCGCCATAGCTGGCTGAGGCCATAACATCTCAGTGTCTCTTACTGTCACTTGCGGACACTGCTTCCTGTTGGCCCCCCACATGCTTCCTAGGGCAGGCAGCCCCACCTCTAGGGAAGGGGGAGGAGGTGAGCCCACAGCTGCAAGAGCCCTTCTCCTGCTTCCACGCCTCTGATAACTGCTGGGAATAACCATAGTGTATCATGGTTGGCAGGCACGAAGTAACATACTGACCTGACGCAGAACGTCAGAGCTGCTTTTGCTGCACAGGCTGGTCAGCCGGGCTGGGCACTTAGTCTCCGGGTACTCTGCAGCCACTTACTGTGCAAAAGGGAGTGAGCTGTAGAGGGACATATAATCACAGGAGGGGACTTCCAGAAATTCATGGGAAAATGGAATCAAGGCACAAGTTCATTTTGGTGGGGAAAAAAAAAAAGGACCTTTGAAATCCATGCATAGTGTCTTCTTAATCCCTATTGCCCATATACCTTTTGAGGACCCCTTGGAATCATGCCAGAGTCAAAGGTTGTGGATTGGGCTCAGGAAGGGCCACGCGTGACCCAACCTTGTGCCCTCGGCCAAAGGCCACTCAGCCACTGGGCATTTATGTTCTGCGTTCCTGGTTGGTGGGCAGGCCCTGCTCGCCCTCGGGTTCCTCTGTGGGATGAGAGGACAGGCATTCCCAGCAGTGCGGGCTGTCTCGATCCCCTCCCTAAACACCGTGCTGGCTGCAGCACAGTGCCTGGGGCGTGGTTTTCATCGGATGTACTTTTCAATGCTGTTCTAACACTGTCCTCTTCTGGACTGGTTCTCTGTGGGTCATTCAGTTACTTTATCTGTAGACATTTTATGGTTGGCATTTCTGCCCTATCTTCCTGCCCTGCGCCATGTCAGCGGAGATCTGGGTCCAGGGTCTAGAGGTCTGTCTTGTGGGAAAATCACAACATTTAGCCTGGTCCTAGGTTTTCTGTAAAACAGAGATAATGCGATAAGGGAGCCTTCACCTGCCTGTCTCCAGGGACAGGGGACTCCTTTCCTAGCGGATCCTCTGGAATGGAGAAGTACATGGGCTTCTTCATCATCACGTCAGAACACAGACAGCCCAGAGCACGCCCCGGGTGCAGGGCCACCAGCACCACTGTTCACTCGGGCAGTTCCGGGCGTGTCCTCTTCCACAGCCCCAGGGATCCCAGCATGATATTGTTCAGGGATGGTTTGATTTCTAACAGAGCCAACCTTCCTTACGATTTAAGCCTAGTGAGTAGGGAGCGGCTTTCTATCTATAAAGGACCATATTTTTGTTTCTTTTATGAAGGATGGATACAAGGCAGGGGCTTTTTCTCCTTTTTCTCTCTTGTTCTCCCACTTCTCCTCTTTTCTTCTCTTTGCCCTCTTCTTACCCCCTCTCTCACTCCTTAAAGTTTCTTCATCCATCTATCTATATATATCTCTCGATCTATCTGTTATCTATCTATCATCTATCTATCTCTATAACTATCATCCATATCTATCATCTATCTCTATATCTGTCGATCTATCAATCTATCATCTATATCTATCTATATCCATCCATCCATCCATCCATCAATCATCTATCTTTATCTGTCTATATCTATCTATATCCACCCATCCATCCATCAATCATCTATCTATACCTATATCCCCAACATGATCATCACACTGACCCACCCCACACCCAGCCCAGACCGCGGCCCATGCACAGGCACAGGGTATGCACAGGAGGTGCCAGGACCTTTCCAATGTGGGTCTAGTTGCATTGCCACCGTGCCACTGCTGTGTGTCCCCACCTTCTCCAAAAGGACAGCTGTGCCTATAAATGGACGACTGTCTCGTGCAGTGGACAAAATGTCTCTGGTGAGTTTCCAGAGTTGCCCCTGCAAATTTCCAAGGGTGGAAGCACCACTGGAGCCTGCTGATGACCTGTGAGGGCCTCCTTTGGATGGGGTGCTGCTGGCCTGTCAAACTGCATGCCCCCACTGAGCTCTCCATCCTCACCCCACGCAGGGCTCTCTTCTGTCCCTGCAGCCGGGGGTGGCCACTGCTCAGCCAGTCTTCCACGCCAGGAGAGAGGGGCATCCTTGGTTCTTCCCATCCCTGCCCCGAGACTGCCACGGCTGCTGCGTCACTGCACCCTGCGGCTGCTTCATCCGTGACGCTTCAATGTAGTTCCTTTTCTCCACCCAACCCTCACTGCCCTCAGCACCCTTCAGCTGGTCTACGGTTACGGTCCAGGCCTGGCCCCTCCCAAATCATCTTCCGGCTGTGCGAGTGTTCAGACATGCCAATCTCACCGTGCCCTTTTCTCTACATGGAACCTTTCCAAGGCTCCTCTACATGGGCAACGCTGGCATCAGCCGCAGGATGAAACAGATTTGTCATCTGTTGACGAGGATGTGTAAGGTGGCTTCACCTGGACTGGACTGAGGTGTGGATCATGCTGGGTGAAGCCTCTTCATAATCTAAATGATGTACAGCGATTTAATGTATGGATAATAATAACAAAACATAAAGACAATATAAAAGGTTACAAACAAAAGTTCCTGAACAGGACAGATGCGTGCCCCGGGACCCAGCCTCCCTGCCCACACACCACACTGCAGCTCGCCTCTGCTCCCCTGCTTGCCCTGTGCCCAGCTGTCCCACCCTCTCTCCTACAGAAGTGGCGCTGCAGCTGACAGCTGGTCCTCTGAGAGCTCTGACCTGCAT